GATTTCTAGTAGTTTATATGTATTTTTCTATGCTATCGCTAACGGAATTTCTAACATATCTGTTGTGTACTTAAAAACTCTCAGAAGCTCCTGAAGTTATCGGTCATTCTAGTACTAGAAGTGACATCTAGTAAAGAGAAAGGAGCTGCTGTTGAGAATAAGTGTTCTTTTATGTCCAGCTGCTATTCTTCATTGCGACAACACAACCACGGCAGACTGAACTGTACTAACTGGCCCTGCTGAATAAGTCTATGGTATCTTGTAGGAGAGGGAGATCTAACTATAGAGCAGAGGAATAGTGATGGTAAGGACAGCACAAGGTGAATGTGCTGTCTTTAATGGGAGGAGATATCATGTCAGGTGTCCTAAGGTCCTCCCACAACCAAGTGACAGATTTAACAGGTGAGTTCACCAGTACCATAGTCACCTCAGAAGGCAGCATTGAGGCAAATGCAACTCTGCTAGATGATGCAGACAGCAGGAGTGACTGTAGTAGCCTGGTGACCATAAGACTAGTCAGAACTTAAAAATTCAGAGCCATCAACATCTGCATGGTAGAGGTGAAGTCTGAGTCATGGGCACTGAGGTTTTCAGTACCAAGTGTGGGTGTTCTAACGGCAATACTCAGGGAAGTGAAGATCATGGTTTCCGATGGCGCCATAAGTTCCTGATGATCAAATGTGCGAAGGCTTCAAATGGACCCAGACAGGGTTACCAACTGCCTTTTGGCTAAGGGGCATAAGATCTTGAGCCAAGTCTTTTGTCTGTCTTTATTGGGCACCAGGATGGGTGACCATAGTTGTGCCTGACCCTGGAGCAGGACTGCTTTTAGACAGTGGCTAGGTACAGTTTAACCTGCCAGATGTGGTAGTCTTAGATTAAAAAAGCACTTAGGAGAGCCATAACTCAGCGGGGCTCTTAATCAAATACATTAAGGGTACGTCTAGACTACATGCCTCTGTCGCCAGAGGCATGTAGATTAGGCTACCAGACATAGGAAAATGAAGCGGCGATTTAAATAATCGCCGCTTCATTTAAATTTACATGGCTGCCGCGCGTGGGCTCGGCGCGGTAGTCTGGACGCGTGGGGGTCGACATCAAAGGCATTTGTCAACCACCCAGGTAAACCTCATCCCAGAAGGCATACCTGGGTGGTCAACAAATACCTTTGACGTCAACACCCGCGCGTCCAGACTATCACGCTGAGCCGACAAACAGCTGAATGAAGCGGCGATTTAAATTTAAATGAAGCGGCGATTATTTAAATCGCCGCTTCATTTTCCTATGCCTGGTAGCCTAATCTACATGCCTCTGGCGACAGAGGCATGTAGTCTAGACGTACCCTAAGGAAGCAGGACTTTTTAGCCTCAGGCTCTTAGGCCTTCATTAGAACTTTAAAAGTAGACCTTAAAATGGGCCTCAGTGGTTTTGTGTGTTCTCTTAGAAAAGGAACAGACTGAACACTCACCAGGGCAGAAGAAATACCAAGATTGCTCACTATTATACAACATAGCAGTCTCTTAAGAGAGACAAATTTTAAATCCCAGTGATTTAATTTCAATAATAGCAATTAAGTACTAGGCTAACTGCAAATCTAATTTAGCCAAATGAGTCAATAGTTACTTAATACCTAACAACAATAAACAATGTTCCTTATCCTGAAAACTAACAGTTCAGTGCCCAGAGTATGTGGACACTACAAGAGTTCTGTCTTGCTGTCAGGAGCAGTAAGAAAGAAGTCAGGCATAGCTGGTCCCATTGTGTCCTTTATGTCTTTTTTTGCGAGCAGGCCAGCATGACAGTGTGAAGAGCAGTGAAACTGTTTAAGCATATGTCAGGCCTGGGCATGGTCCCAATGGACACTTCTACCCAAAAGAATCTGCTACTGGGCACATGCTCACCAGAAGTGGAATCCATGTGGACAATGACTTGGAAACAGCCCATGTTCAAATGTGTGGGTCACTTTTTTTTTTTTTTTTTTTTTTTAAAGGGTCACTTAATGACGCAATAACCTTTTCTTTCTCAGCAAGAGCTTTTTCTTCATCTATATGAATTCCATCTTCTTCCGAGTCCGATTCTGGAGATAACGAATCATGAGTACTATCTTCTTTGTCAAGTTCTTCAAGTATTTTGTCCTAAAAAGCATACAAAATGAATTTACTTATGTATGTTCATTATAAACCATGACTCTATATGAATTGTAACTAGATCTCCACAAAAGACACACTAAACTCAGTATTTTTAAAATACATGTCAATTAGTACAAATACTGGTGACAGTACTTCGTTTTGTCTTTATTTAACCACGGTTGCAATCTTGCTCAGCTACAGGGGTTCATTTGTGCAGATCTCTATACTAAGGATGTGAGCAGCTAGTTGGTAAATTGTTTAACCAGCAAGCCACAGCTTATCAGTTAATGGTCCTGGTTAACCACAACACTCTTACCCCAGTTATAACATTTGAAACTGACAGTGGAATAGTTAGTTCATGACTGTTTTTAACATTTGTGTGGCACAATCAGTCACAATTAAATGAAAAGCATTCACTCAATTCTGATTATGAAATCATGATTTGTCTCATGGTACTACAGAGTATTCCTTGCACTTTGTTTTAGTTCATCTCAGTCCACAATTTTGTATTGGGAAAAATTCATGAACAAACAAATAAGAGGTCCCTCATAACTTAATTATGTCTCATTTAGTATTTGCACAGTCACAATAAAACAAACACACAGCAAAGAGAAAATTCACTCTTATAGGGAAATATTTATCATCCTCAAAACCGACCCCACACCTACTGTTTATTCAAACATTTTAATTGCTGATAACATGCTCAGTCGCACATAGATTCTACATTTTCTGAAATGTCAATAAAAGTGGGATGAATTTAGTATCTTAATACTTATTCTACTGTGTATTTTATTTCAGATCAGATTAAAGTTTTAGAAGACATTAAACACTGGAATCCCATCAATGTTAGCTGGCCAGTTACCTCAAAGCCACAGAAATATATAAAAATATAAAAATCAAAGGTATCTTTAAAAACAGCCATCTTCAAATCTCCAGCTTCTGTAAACTGTAACTCCTTGGGTAAACCTAACTGTGTAGCATTAGACAGACATATTCAATGATAAACCTGAGACTAAAATTCATAAGAGGCATCCTATTGGTATCCTCAAGATTTCCATTCCTTTTAAGCACAATGCTTCTTTCACTTCAGGAACTAGTTAAAAGACAGTGCACTAGTAAGGCTTCAGCTTCTTACATTGTCTGAATGTTTACAATGTCAACAGCAGGAGAAGTAGCATGAGCGCATGAAACAGGGTCTGGCAACTATTTTCCAAATATTTTGTTTTAAAAAAAACATATCAATCATAAGCTTATTCATACACACTAGTAATAAACTGGGGTGTCAAACATGCTTAAAAGATATAGTCCACCTTTAACCAAAGTTTTTATGGAGGCATTTAACAGGAATGTTAAATATGTACCTCAGATGATGTTCTACTTCTATTCTAAACTACTTCTTGTAGAATCATTTTACATTTAAAACAAAATAATATTTTAAGAAAAAAATGGTTTTAAAGACAAAGATGTATCATAAGCGAGGGCAGTAATCTAGTGTACTTAAATTGTAGTATCGGACTTCACATCTTTTCAAGGACCATCTTTTCAAAATGTAAGCTGTTTGGAACAAGGAGTGATACTTTCTGTTCTTACAATAACTAGTGCAATCGAGAACCAACCTAGCAGGTCTATAGGCAAAAATGCAATATACAGGCAGTCCCCGGGTTACATGGATCCGACTTACATCGGATCCCTACTTACAAACGGGGTGAGGCAACCCCGCACTAGCTGCTTCCCCCCAGCAGACCAGGGAGACGCGAAGCTAGGGCCCTCCACAGCAGGCCAGGGAGATGCGGAGCGGCTTTTCTCAGCAGACACCTCAGCTTGAGAATAAAGGACTGAGGGAAGTGAGGTGTGGGAGAATAAAACTGAGCGCTGGAGAAATGTTTGGCTAGAGTTTCCCCTACAATATGTACCAGTTCTGACTTACATACAAATTCAACTTAAGAACAAACCTACAGTCCCTATCTTGTACGTAACCTGGGGACTGCCTGTAATATTAAGCAATAGTATAAATTAGGCATAATGCATAAGTATACCATATTCCTGGAATAACATACCACATCAAGTTTTCCCCATGCTTCATAGTCATAAGATTTGATCTTGTTTTTTTTGTTTTCCTCTGTAGTTCTCTTAGAAGGTGTTCTAGCTTTGTTCTTCTTTTTCCTATATGCCTCATTTCGAATTGGTGGTAAATTCTAGGTAGAACAACAGTTATTTCAGTATAGGTTTAAGCTTATTAATTTTACAATGAAATAGTTACGATTTTTTTCTGATGAGATTGGATAACATGTACAGTAATATATATATATATATATATATATATTATATTTTA